GAAATGCGGAAGGTGGTGACAGAAATTGTCCACTACAAATGTCACCTTGAAAAGGGTGTCTCCCCACCTTCCCATCTTAGTCACATCTGTGTTGACTGTCAAAATGAACGTCCCCCCCCCCCCCCATCGGAATCTGTTTGTTCACTGATTGCAGCAGCAGTAGCAACTTCATTCTGGTGTCATTGGGCCGTCTCATTTGAAACGATTGGACCTAGAGTTATGGACATATAAAGTTCTTCCAGTTTGAGTCATCTTGAGCTATTTCCATGACCTTCTACGCATAAAAATTCGCTTACATAATGCCCTAATTCACTTTTTCCTTCTATCTATGATTAGTAGTCATCCTCAGTAATTGCTAAATGGCCGCTGCTATTTGTGTTTGACCAACAGGAATGATTATAGAAACTTTGTATCACATCTTTCATTTCGTATTGATTATACGTTCATTACGTTGACTGCAGCCCCCGGACAAAATTTGACACCCGCCGATCAGTTGTCACTCACAATGGCATGGCAACGACCCGACATAGCCCGTACTCGTGTCCTTGTAAATGTTAACGATTGGTCGGTAAGTTGTCCATTATTGTTATTCAAACAATATTACAATTGTCTCTATGCCGTTATCATCTTATATTTAACGGACAATTTGCCTACCAATTTGTAGAAGCAGACATTGGAGAGCGCTATGACTGACGCCTTGATTAATGACCGCCTTGAATTCGTTCAACTACTCTTGGAAAAGGGTTTGGATATTTACAAATTCCTCACCGATCGAAGACTGGAGGATCTCTACTTGGCATCATATGATTCGAAGAATCATTTCAGTCGTCTTTTCAGAAAACTCATCGGAGACAGATACGTATGTTTGAAAAGAGTTGCAATCTTTTGTGTGTGGGTGTGTGGTTGAACCCACTTTTCGTTCCACGACGACAAACTAACGATGTTTGTGCTAACATTTAGCTAAGAGATCGCTTTGGCGTAAAAATATCTCCTCTGTACTGTCAATTTTTATAAATTGGCAATGTGTCTATGTATATTTGCTAGAACCATCATTGGAAGGTTCTAAAACTGCTCTACTTCCGAGAATGCTCCACACAAACTAACAATGGGAGTTTGGGCGAAAATTGAATTGACATCGAGGCTGTTTGAATTTAACCCTTCCTCAAAATAGCCAAAAATTCTAGAGATCAATAGAGATCTAGAGATCTTCTTAATTACCCGATTGCCATAAACCAAAATGCAACAATTTATAGGCGGAAATTCAGTAGAATTATAATCCCCTACCGCAAAAAGGAAGTACCTTCTTGTGGGGAAAATAGTTTAGCTTTCCAGATTTGGAAAAGATTGGAGAGAGAGAGAGAAAGTGTGAAGGTCTATGTTGATCATGGTGCAAGAGGAATTATCGATTTCGTTGATGTGGTAGAAGAGCATTACCACATTCCGTGGATTTACGCTCCTAGAGGCAGGAATTGGCATTGTTTGCTGATTTAATCATGACTTTGTGCAAGCTACCTTTCTGATTCTATATGGAGATAAGAGAACTGAAATGCCTTTGTGTTTTTCATAACAGTGCGAAGGCGTAGTCTTCTTCGAAGAAGTTTGATCACCCATTTTCTCATAAGAATCTTGGAAGCTCTGTGGAAGCATAGAGAGAGAGATATTCGCTGGTCTGCTCTGTTATTGGACACTCCTAGCACTATCATTCATTCATTTATTTATATCAAATGTCAGGCTTTATGATAGTTATTATTAGCCCTTTAGTTGACTTCAGGCTTCACAGAGGTGAAGGTGAACATCAAAGTGACAAAAAGTCGAGAGGGGTGGGGGGGGGGGGGGGAGGGACAGAAGTGTGTTTTGAAGACGAATGTAGAAAAGGTAGAAAAAAATGTGAGGTGAGTACTGTGGAAAGGATCGAATATGACTTGCAGTGGGGTGATGATAGTTTGAAGTGAGAAGTCAACTGCCAGTTAATAGACTTCTTTGCCGTATGAGTATACGTTGCCCAGGGTGCACCACGAGGAGGTAAGTCTATCGCACACCCCGCACTATTATTGAAAGGTTGTATTGGTGGATTGATCTCATACGAAGGCATTGATAAGTCTTATTTTTACCTTTTCTTTAAATATGAGCGCTTTAAATCTATCTCTCCCGATAGCTAAAGAGCAGTTAGTTGGTGTTAGATTGGATGCTTAAAATTTGCTCATTCATTTGCAGAATCTCTCACTCAAATCAATTGGCAACATGTTGGAGCAAATAGTCGGTAATGGATACCAACATCCGTACTGCTCTAAACGCATCGATGATCGACTTCGAAAAAAAATAAATGGCAATCCAAAACAGGTTAGTCTCATGAGTTACTTCAACCTCACTGCGAGTAGCAATTCGGTGATCAGATGGAATAGAGCACACCTTTACAGCTCTTTCCTTCCTAACTGGAACAGCCACAAGGCTCAATGTATTTATATCAAATGGCAAGCGTTTTGATGGTTATCATTAGCCCTTTAGTTGACTTTAGGCTTCACAGAGGAGAGGAGGAACATCAAAGTGAATAAAATCGAGAGGGGGGGTTGAAGAGAAGAGTGTTTCAAAGATGTAAAAGAAACAGACACAAAGGTAGACAAAAGGTGAGGTGGTTACTGTGGAAGTAGTGGAATATGACATAGAGTGGGGTGATGGCAGTTTGAAGTGAGAAGTCAACTGCCGGTCAATAGACTTTTTGCCGTATGATTATACATTGCTCAGGGTGCACCACGTGGAGGTAGTCTATTGCGCACCCCGGGCTCAATGTTGTTGATACTTTAGCCCAAGTAGTTGGAATTGAGTACAGTAAATGACAGAAGTAGCGGAAAGTGGTAATTAAAACGTCCACATTTTCGATCTGAATCTGGAGACAACAATAGCAAATGGCGAGAATTGGGAATGAGGATAGATTATCGAAAAAAATAACGCTTAGGGCGGGTAGGGAAGGACTTGAATGGAGATTTGAGATTAGGGAGTGATTTTGAGTGGCCAGTATTTTAAAAGTGTCGATCATCTACTCCCTGAGATGATTGTATTCAAGCTCCACCGAAGAAAAAAGAAATATATTTATACCTAATTCGTGAATCGAGCGAAGCAACCGATTCGAGTGTAATAATTCAACCTATCTTCAAGATGTTATCTCCGTCTAGCTTGGCTTCTTGAAGTTTCACTAGGATACAGTGTCTTCACGCCCTCCTGTTTCTACCTCAAACATTTTCTAACAAGTACAACTATCTATGGCACTTGATAAACTTGTAATCAGTGGCTTTAGAGATGTACACTTTAACCGCTACGCCAGTGTTTTGAGGGCTTGGCACGACTTGAATTCGACACGCCATATAATAATTGCCTCTATTTTTTTTTGAAAATGTTTTTATTTTTCAGCAATCACAATCACATGGGAGTTCAAGACACGGACAAAGTCATAAAACCAAGAAGACTGGCTCTCTAGCCGTTTGGACGCCTTCTGAATGGGGAACTGTTGAAGCGCCTCGGGGAATGGCAGAAGATGAAGCAATGGGGAAGGGTGATGAAGGTCGGGACTGCTTTCGATATCCCTATACGGAACTGCTACAGTGGGCTCTACTTACTTGCCGATTATCATTAGCTCGATTCATGGTACTTTCTGGCGAAGAGGCTATTGCAAAGGTGAATTTCACTTTTTGTATTGTGATTAGTTATGCTAATTCCAGTGTTTTTTGTCCATGAGAACAGGGGTCGAACACAGGGCGATTGTCGAGGTGTTGGGAAACAATGTTTTGCTTTAAAAGACTTCTATTAGGTTTCAATCTTCCTGATCCCGTTGACTGTGTGTGTATGTGTGCAACAATCCAACACTGCATAGTTTAATCCCTAGGTTCTTGAAAGAGTCCACACAGATGAAGTTCAGATCTTCTGGATCAGTGGATAACTTGCAACGCTAAGTCACGCTACCTCTAGGCACTTGGTACCTCTAATAGACAAAATAAATTGGCTCCTGTATAAAGCGATTAGGTGAGACCGATGGGTAGACGGGTTCAAGGTACTACCAAATAACCACCCATCCGAATTTACCGCCCGCGGATGGGGACTTTCGGCTGTGCAATGAGGAATATGCCAAATTTTCTCTCACCCCCCCCCCTCCCCGCTCCCTCCCCGCTCCCTCCCCTCTCAGTTTTGTTGTTACGTTTGGCCTCCTCAAGTAGATCTTCACTCTAGGTGGTGGCTGTGGAGGACAGACGTACGCTTGTTGAAAAGCGCCCGATTACCTCCCGGTTTCTTGTCATTTTAGGCATTGCTCTCTGTAAGAATTCTCCAAGGAATGCGCAAATTAATGGATGCTGAATCAGAAACCGAACTGATCCGAATCATTCGAGCTCAGGAGGAGTAAGTCACTCCTCAATACGTTGGCTTCACTCCCGTTTATAACTATGCATTCATCTCCTCCTTTTTTGTGTTTTACTTCAAGGTCATTCGAAATCCTTGCTGTAGAACTCCAAGAGCACTGCTATCGACATGACGCCGAACAAGCCCGACGTCTTTTGACCTACGAATTGTGCAATTTCTCAGGAAGCACTTGTCTCTCCCTTGCTTGTATGTGTGAATCGAAACCTTTTATTGCTCACCCCTGTGCTCAAGCAATTCTCTCCGATCTGTGGTATGGAGGTCTCCGAGAAGGCCGATTTGTCTCCACCAAGGTTACACTGATTCTTCTTGGACTTGCTGTACCACCATTTTATCCCTTCATTGCCTTCTGTTTCGCGTCCAATTCTTCAAAGTTCTTGGAATTCAAGACGAAGGAGGAGTTGTCTGCCCAGCCTCAGACATGGGAAGAACATCAGGATGAAATTGAAACCGATTCGTCGTCTTCGAGTAGCAGTTCCAGTAGCAGTAACTCGTCCTCCACAAGCAATTCTAGAAATAGGTTGGTTTTACCCAAAGTGCTTGTAGGCTCCAATGCCAATAACTAGTGTCACCTTGCTTCTTCTCCTCGTCTTGTAGTTACATGGAGGATGCCAAAACGAGGATTATTGACAACTTCACACTAGCGACTCCATTGGCTCTTATTCGACCGTTCTCTGAACCTACTTTAAGGAATCCATTCTTCCAGGTGAGCCCATTTCTTAATAATAAGGTTGACCAGCATCGAAGTACGAACCATATAGAGCAGACTTCAACACTACAGCTTGCCTAGTAGGGTTGTATTTTCGTCTCTAATATCCCATTATTCATTTTGTGTCTTCAAGTTGGGATGCTACCTATTTTGCAACACAATTTTAGTGGTCAAATAGTCGGTTTTCGCGCGACTATGCGCTCCAAAGCATTATTATTATTATTATTACTTTTTAATTGTAGCCAATCTTGCTGAAAATCAAATATTACTATTTCAGAATTCCGCTGGAAGGAAAAAGTTGCATGCAACAAATTCTAACGTGAGACCTATTTCCCTAATTTTTGTGGAAAGGTTGCGGTTGAAGGTGTTTGCTTTTTTCACTGGATTGACAACTCTACTAGATTATATTTCTTATTTAACATAAGCCCCAACCCCCCACCTCCTCCCTCCCTCCCTCCCTCTCTCCCTCTCTCCCCTCCTCCCCCCTTAGAGCTTCACTCAGAATGCTCTGTTTTATGACGGAGCTTTGCTGGCAGACAGACGGTCAAGCGCGCACACATGTCTGAAGCAAAAGGTGAATTTCACATCCCAATGACACGCCAGTCTCAAGCACTTTTAAATGGCCCCATGAGGATATCTACTCGGTATTCTGTCATGCTGTGACTGTATCCACCCTCCTCAAAGTCCCCATATTTCTCAATCTTGATTCAACTTGGAGGAGGCTTTGAGTTTCCACACTTGTGAAAATGGGCCAAGCAAAAGAGTGGTGATGACGGGGGTGATGGGGGTGGAGGGGAGGGGATGGAGTGAAATCTGCAGATTGCAAACCAATGGAAGTCTTGGGCCTCAGAATTGCCTTGATAGTGCGTTGTGTATCGCATGACACCTAGTTAGTCAATCGTTGCCGGCTCGCGGTTAAAAAGTACTCATAAACTAGACACTTAATGAACACACAATAGGCCGAATCCTATAGACTGGTGGGTGTTTGTTATTTTTCAAAAGAGCCTTCCAAAGAATGAATTTTAAATGATTTCAATTGGCTATTGCTCGCTCTCTAGCTATTCATCTACTAATTATTACCGAATCTGTATTTATTTAAATTAAGTGGCAGGCGTTTTGATAGTTATCATTACCCCTTTAGTTGACTTCAGGCTTCACAGAGGGGAAGGAACGTCGAAGTGAAAAAAAGTCGCTAGTGGGGGGGGGGGGGGGGCA